CATATTTTGACCTTTTTGTGGGTTTAAAAATACATGTCATACAAAAAACTGAAAACCACTTCAAAAACCCTGTGCATTCACCATTATTTCTTACAAGCTATTCAATGATGATACTTCAAGCAGCACACATGTACCTTGAGGATGGCTTTTACAATAAATATCCCTTGTACGAGAATCGAATATTTTCAAGCCCACATTACTTTTACAATAGATAGCAACTGCAGTACATCAAGACAAAATTGTTGAAATTTTTGGATAAAAGTGATTGAAAGTATCTTCAGTCTTGAACACATTTAAAAGTTTGGGTAATTCTGTCTGCCTTAAAAATGATTGTCTAGTTAACTGAGAGGAACTTAAATACAACTGATTTCCAATACTCATTATTGACAAGAGATCATTAGCAGAATTGATTCCTTGTTTGTTTTCGTAAATCAAAGAGTATAATCTCATTGCAACACATTGTTGTCCTGAGTTTTGTCCAAATACCAACTCATTAGCTTGGCTATATGGTGCCATTATTATTTTGCTAGGGTCAATGTACATTGGAGTAGGATCTGGACTTTTCTCACCATCTGAACTCAGTTGAAATTTTCAATAATTTGATGCGTTTGTCTGACTCCTATTGATTTGCACTTAGTGTTTTATAGTTTTGGCGCCAGAGCGTTGTCCCAGGGAGTCTGGGGACCAACCCCTCTTTTTATTTAAAGTCGCGAAAAATCCAATATTCAAAAATAACGGTCAGCCAGAGATCACGAAAAGATCTAAAAGATGTATGGAATGCCCTACGAATTGTAATTTAAAATTTCGTTTAACTCTCAAATGTTATTCAATATTTAAAAAAATCTGCATTTGTTTCTTAGTTTGACTTGCTTCCTCTGACAACCAGTACAAAAATAAACGGCCACCATACATCAGAAACCTTCAAAGCTACAGTAACGCTTCAAAACGAAAGTGCGAATCACCTATAAAGACACAAGGGTCTATTACAAGAGAACATCGATAAATACCACCTTGCTCTATACTTCAATTAAATTATTCTCTGATATACCCTCACTGAACAATTCAACAAATACTTCTCATCGTGTTTTGTAACTTTATTTGCTCTTACCCTCTTCGTATTAAGCTTACAAATATTCTTTGTAACTCTTCTAACCTTCACATAACGATGTAGCCAAGAGGACTTCGGTATGCTTGGACGAATACGCACATCAAACAAATTACTTTAGTTTTCTGCCCTTTCTTCTGAGACGTTTCAGAGTAGCTTCTTGTATCAGTACTGGGTTCTCAATCACGTCTAAATACACGGTTGTGTTTGCATGTAAACATAATATGACATAACTGATTTGATATAGCAGGTTTCGCTTGATATTTCTCGATAAAAGGTTCACTCGTAAAGGATCGCTCGTAAATTGATCTGTCGTAAAGTTCGCGAAACGACCCGTTCCCAAATCCCCCCACAACTATTAGTGCAGTTCTACCGCGATCGGTGTGTCTTTGTATATACATTGGGCGTAATAGCCATCGAATTTCTTTCGGGTACATCAAGCAAGGAATTGTCCACCAAGGCAACCATTTGCTTTCTTGCATTAAACCATGCGCTCATAGTTCATTCTACGCATGCACATGCATTGTACGCATGCGCTATAGTGGAACTGCGTTTTATGACTGAACGACAAAAAAAAAAAAAAAACTCAGCCGAATTTATACCCCGGGCGTTGCTTTAGGAAAGCCCGAGTAAAAATGTGTCAACTCCATGGTCACAGCCTTTTCCTTTAATCGGGCAGATTTTTAGAAATAAAAGCAACAACATACAATGAAATATATGAAGTTCATATATTTTGAACTGCGGTATTAGATACATATGATGCACGATCCTCGCAGTAGATAGCGCTATTTAAGCAATAGCGAAAATCAGACCTGAAAAAAATCAGGCCTGTACGGGATTCGAACCACTGACCTCTGCGATACTAGTGCAGCGCTCTACCAATTGAGCTAACAAGCCAACTGGGAGCAGGCCGTTAAGTTGATTCGTAATAAACCCGTGAAAGTGATAAATCAGATACAATGAAATATATGAAGTTCATATATTTTGAACTGCGGTATTAGATACGTATGATGCACGATCCTCGCAGTAGATAGCGCTATTTAAGCAATAGCGAAAATCAGACCTGAAAAAAATCAGGCCTGTACGGGATTCGAACCACTGACCTCTGCGATACTAGTGCAGCGCTCTACCAATTGAGCTAACAAGCCAACTGGGAGCAGGCCGTTAAGTTGATTCGTAATAAACCCGTGAAAGTGATAAATCAGATACAATGAAATATATGAAGTTCATATATTTTGAACTGCGGTATTAGATACATATGATACA